ATTAGAGGCTGATGATAAAGTAACAGCAGAAATATATCTCACCAGAAAGAGTTATGGCTTCATGAAGTGCATTATGAAGTAGATCCAGACGTTAATACAGGAAAAACCTGTTATCACTGGTGGCGGCCGATACACCAGACATTGACACATTTGGCGACTTTGTCAAGGCTTTGGTATCAGTCTAATAACTTTATGTATATGTTCTTCCCTTAAGGAGACATCAACATCCATGCATATACCATTCGATAGGAAAAGTTCTCATTAACCAAATAATGACAGAAAAAATAATTATGATAATTACAACTGTTAAGACCGCCTCTGTGGTCTAGTGGTCAGAGTTCCTGGCTGCAGATCTAGAGGTCCCGGGTTCGATTCCCGACGCTACCAGATTTTCTGAGAAGTAGTGGGTCTGGAACGGTGTCCACTCAGTCACGTGAGAATAATTGAGGAGCAATTTCAAGGAAATAGCGGCTCTGTTCTAGAAAAATCGAGATTAACGGCCGTGGGCATTCGCTGCGCTGACCACGCGACACCCTCTATCCGCTAAAATTGGTACTAATTTAGCCGACAAGGGGCGGTCGCTCGGTCGGTATAGTTCGCTTGAGGACTACAGACCATGGAGTTCATTTGTTTTTAGTTTAATTACAACTGTTATTTAGTTAATGATAACTGTGCCTATTCATTTTTGTGGGTATGAAGCTCGAGACAACGTAGATTCAGGGAAAGTGTATCATTTAGCTACGAAGTCAGTACTCCACAATAGGATTCACATTGAACTTGTTATGGTTATGAAACTAGTTCTGGTGTCTGAAAATGCATTTAAGATAAACTTACAGGGAAATCCGCATAGGTAAACCTCTGTAGATGTATTTAATGTTTAGAGTGATCTGAAACAAGGGGATGCTTTATCGCCATTTGTCTGAAACTCTGTTTCAGAATATGCCATTAGGAGGGTACAAGGAAACTAGGAGGGGCTGAAACCGAATGAAACACGTCATCTTCCGGTCTCCGCTAATGATGCTAGCAATTTGTTGGGCGTAAACTTGAACAGCACAAAGAAGAACACAGAAGCTCTATTAAACGCTAACAAGGAGGTTGTATTGGAGGAAACACAGAGAAAATTAAGTAGATCACATGTCCATGCCACGTCCTCTGAATTCAGGACAAAATTATAATATAAAGTACACTAATAATTTATAATAGTGACCGCACAGTCCCAAGACATGTACTAACTTCGGGAACTCAAACAATGTACTTCCCCGTCCCAGGAATCTTTCGAATATCAGAAGCATTCATATCGATAGTTTTAGAAGTCGATTCTGAATTGGAAAAGGCCAGACGTCATAATCCGTAAAAGTTGAAGAAGCAGAAGAAGATGAAGACGAAGAAAATGAAAGGGAGGTGGCGTAAGAAGGCTAAAAGTTCCTTTGAAAGAGTGGCAAATTTCAAATATTTGAGAAAGACGTTAAAAAATCAAACTTGCACTCATGAAGAACTTAAGAGCAGATTAAATTCCTGAATTCCCTGTTATCATTAGGTTCGGTGGCCTCTGTCTTGCAGTGGGCTACAGAGGATCGAAAAATTAAACTGTATATAAGCGTGGATTGGCCGGTCACGGTAGCCGAGCAGTCTAAGGCATGTACTGTCTTCGCTCGCTTGGAAACTGGGATGGTGGGTTCGAATTCCGCTCAGGGCATGGATGTTTAGTTTGTGTGTGTGTACAGGTAGATGCTTTGCGACGAGCTGATCACCCGCCCAAGGAGTCCTACCGAATATGTAAGATCTAAAAAACCCGAAGTGAAGTTCATGGAGGTAGGCCTAGGCCCACTGGGGCTGAAGTGCCATGGGGGGAAAANGTCAGAGGTAGGCCTAGGCCCACTGGGGCTGAAGTGCCATGGGGGGAAAAAAATAAGCGTGGATTTACCTGTAGCTTTATGAGAGCACAGCAAGATTTTGAGGTGTCTGAGAACAAAGTGGGTTTATGAGGAAAATATTTGGTCCTAAGGGGAACGAACTGGCAGGTAGGAGAAAGTTTCCTATAAAGGAACCTCGTGATCTATCCTCTTCACCAAAATATTACTAGTATGATAAACTCAATGAGAATGAGTTGGGGGGGCATATAAAATGCATGGGAGAGATATTAAATGCTTATAAAATGTCAGCCGGAAAAGGTGAAATTGGCAGCCCTCTTGGAAGAAGACCCAGGGAAGGAGAGTAACTTTAAAATGAACTTCAAAGAAGCAGGGTGGCAGGACGTGAACTAGAAACTTCTGACTGAGGATGGGGTCCAGTGGCAAGGTTCCACCACCCAAAAATGAAATCTGAGATTATACATTCGCAGACATGTGGTTCAGCATTGGTTACAGGAATTTCTCTTCCATATTCTTATAATTCAATCTGGAAGCTCGATTGTTCCCCAGAAAGCTGAAAGCACTCCGTAAACATCAGCTCTTTAACTACATTCAGACTAAACAAACATTTTATTCCACGTTAAACCTACTTCAATTTTGACGTTCTAAAATGTGCAGTGCAACCACGACGAAAAGCTCAGTCAGTGAGTGATAGAAAAGCCATACGATCACATTCGTGACCAGGTTAACAATATTTCATAGCCGAGAAGTAGCTTCTTCAAATCCCGGCCGAGTGACGGGCTATCCTCTATGTTAAGTTCAAGGTTCTCAGGGCCATGGCTACAAACACATCTGTGTTCTTCGACGTCATGTCGTGTAGTCTGGTATTGGCTTGTTCGGAGCTCATATCCCAGTTCTCCGAGTCCCTATATACAGTAAAACTTGGTTATAGCAACATCGGTTTCTGCGACACCTTGTCTATTGCGTAAATATTCAATGGTACGAACTAATTCCTCATAAAGCAACTGTTTTTATACCTTGCTTAGTACGACATGCACAAATGCATCAACCTCGTATGTAACGTCATTTTCATTCCTGAATTTCTCTGATATGGACATTGAACGTAATTTAGAAAGTGTGTATTGGGCAAGTAACAGGAAACAGATGAAGATAACTGATTACTGTACTCGTATCTAGGTACAGTAAGGCACAACAATTGATGTAATCTACTGTAATTTGGTGAGTAGGCCTACCTTTAATATACAGTATTAGTGCGGTGTGTATTGTCAGTGAAAAGCGCTGTAATATGTCTTTGATATTACACATTTGGTTAATTCCACGTTAATGTTACGTTAGTCTGTACTTAACTACGTATTTCACTAAAAAATGCAACATTTTAACTCGGTTTTTGGTAGATTTTTACGTGACTAACATAAGGCTACTGTGGAAGTGCCCATTTCGGTTACAACGACATTCATTTATAACGACACTATTTTTAGGTCCCTTTGATGACGTTATAACCAAGTTCTACTATATTTACATTTTGTCTATTCCCGGCTTACTCTTCCGCCCTGAAGATCGAGACAAAAAGTTCCTCCGAAACACTGGCAAATATCCACCAGATTACACGGTATCACATCTCAGATGACGCTACTCTTCATATCCTGCACGGCTTTTGTTCTTGTTGTTGACGTTGTTTGCTTCGGGCAGAAATTGAACATAAATAAGTTTATTAGACCTGTTAGGTAAATGCAAAGTTGTCCCTGTGCTTATGAAGGTGTATGGGGGAGTGGATGTATAGATTCACATTTTCTTGACCTCAGCACTAGTTGGAAGTGACTGGTCAGCTTCATGCCCCGGCTGCTTTAACCCCGGGAAAGACAGCCCCCGGTACCCATTGGAGAGGAGGCTAGGTGGGCCGCAGAGCCGGTTTCGACGACGTGAAGAAGAGAAATTTCTTGACCCTGTTGGGACTCAAACTCCGACCCTTCAGTTCAGCCAGCAGGCAGTCGCAATACCGAGTGTGATATTAACTACACGAAAGAATCACTATTTAATACATATAAAATACAGTACCTACATTGAAACAAAAGTCTGCATGAAGAAGGGTACTTTCTGAATATCTGATAATAGTTCATCTGTTCAAGATATTCCACGCGTTTTATGGAACCCGAAGGAGTATTACATATCGGAAGACTTTGTCACTGTACCCTACTCAGAACCAGTCAAATCCGGTCCTCACCATAAAGTTTTAATTCTTTAGGGCCAGTTTTACTATTAGGCTATTCTAGCACATACGCCAATGTCTCCAAGTGCTATCTGCCCTTCAGGATTTCGGACTAAAACTTGGTTTATGTCTACATAACCCCATTTACTCGACCATTATAATAATATTATATGAAAAGCATAAAAACCAAAGCCTCTTGCTATGCATAATTCTTCAGGTTTGTTTTACGTCCTTTCTCATACATACTTCTCAATTCTAAGAACCTCTAAAGAATTTATGCCTCGTTTACGACAGATCTAAATTCTATTATTTATATTTTGCCTCCGTCTTTTCGTTCTCACTCCACTGGGTAATCATCGCTAGGTTTCTTACGTCTATTGTTTTCGAAAGTGAGATTGTCGGCCTCACACCCAGCCCCACACACTGAGGATTTCGGGTACCTTCGGCCTGTCTAGCATGGATAACACTGCTCTCCGTGTGATCAGGGTAATCTCCCAACCTCATTAACGTAAGAGGACAGGAGTTGAAGAAAGCAGTCTTCTGGGATTTGGCACCGTGTATATGTGGTGTTAACCGACGTTTCGGAGGAACGTATCGCCTCCATCTTCAGGGTAGAAGAAAAAATATAAGAAATCTGCAAGCGAAGAGACCNCCGCCGTGAAAGCCTCAAATCTTAAAGGACAGGAGTTGAGTTACTTTCCTTAGGTCCACATATTCTTAGTATTTTATTCTCACTCTCAATCTATTTACTTTCCTTTGCGGTCAAGGAAATCTAGCCACCGAATAAGTGACTGACCGACTGGCATAACTGGCAATCAGACTAACTGATCAGCTAATTAGCAATCTGACGAAGTGACAAACTGTGTCTTTGTATTAGCGTTTTTAAACTTAGGGTTCTACTGACAGCACGAATTGAAACTTACCTGGAATTCAACTCTGTAAAGGACTTGGAACTTCCGGCGTAGGTCACAGAGCTTGGTGTAGTTCTTGAGGTCGATCGGCTTGTCAGGAATTGTAGATTTGACGCCATTTTCTTCTGCAAGCAAAAGGATAAAGAAGATTTGTGTGAAGATGACGACCTAGCATTTCGGTTTTAGGAGGATTTGTGCCAAAATCATACCACCTTAGCGTATTTTCCATGAAGAGACGTTAACTCAGAACAATACGAGAGAGGGGTAGTGGCCCAGCTTGTTCCAGAACTCCTCACTTTGCTGGAATCTGAAGGTTCGTTGCGCTGTCCACAAGAGTCCGCCAGTGAACGCTATTCTGAAAGAGCTAACCCATTTCACTTCTTTAAAGTCCATTTTAATATTATCCTTCCATTACACCTAGATCTCTCTTGTTGTATCTTACTTTCAGATTTTCCGGCTAAATCTCTAATCCTTACATGACCCACCCATCTGACCACGTTAATGATATTTGACAAGAAGAACGGATTGTGAAACTTCTCATTATATGAATCGTTTGATACGTTACGAGAACGATAATGACGATATAATGGCTCATGTGCGTGAGTCTGAGACATTTGAAAATTATAAAACACAAAGCAAACTAAACAATTAGTCACACGCTAACTTCAAGTAACTTAAACTAACCTAAGACAATCTAAAATAATGTTACGAGCTACCTGAGAGAATTTAACGTAATATATTTTAAATTCACGTGATTCTTATCAGAACCGATACCAAGAAGTCTAATAAACAGGAATGAAATAATTCATACAGTAGCGCATGCGTAGGAAGAGGCAAAGAGAGATCAGACCATCGACGCCTTTACCGATGCGGAACTAAGCTAGACTTAGGGCTGAAATGAACTCACTGTTTTGGGCCAAAATGAGCAGGACTCGTCTCTACCTTCCTTTAACACCCGACGACACATGTTCAATCTCCAAAATCTGTGTTTGGAAATATCCGAGAGAATGGTCAGTGTCAAAATAATTAGATTTTTTGTCGCAGAAATATTTTAGACTCAGTCTTCAAAACCCCATACTTAAACAGAGGACGATCTATTCATGTCAAATCATATGCGTGACTGGAGAGGATACACCAGACCAACGATGTCCTTATCGATGCATAGAGTCGGAACTTGGCAGTGCTTTGTCACATACATAAAAATATAGCCTGGACAGGAGCAAACCACCAAGAAATATAAACTGACATCGAAGTTGGGAACCGAATATTCTTCCGGTGAAGATAATAAATTACAAGGAAAATAATGATAATATGCTGGCAGATGCGGATATGCCTAACAGACGTGGATACTGAATAAAATCTAATTAAATGACATAACAACATATAGCCTTAGTAACCTAACCTGACCTAACAACATAATTTAGTAACCTAACCTACCATAAACTCAAACAAAAAAGTAGAGATATCACTGTAACAGGCCGCGAAGGCCAGTAGGGTTATGAGACGTCGAGGCTCCCACATTTTCTCTAGATAATCAGCTCACAGAAGGCGGAAAGATTGTCAGCTTTACTCACCCCTCCGGAAAATTCCTGGTACTCATATCTGTTAGAGTCTGAGTCGACTCCAGGGTCATAGGTAACGTAGTTGGTTGGGGAACTACGCTACAAGTAGGATGGTCGCAGGTTCAAGTCCTAATAAGGTGGATTTTTCAAATTTTTCATAAACTTACATGACCCTTATCAAAACCGGGGTTACTGTTCCAGCATGAAACAGCATAATCCAGACTTAAGCAGTGAATGAATAGATTGGTTTGGAAGACGCATAATCGCGGAGGAAATAAGCAGTGAATGAATAAATTGGTGTGGAAGACGCATAATCGCGGAGGAAATAAGCAGTGAATGAATAAATTGGTGTGGAAGACGCATAAACGCGGAGGAAATAAGCAGTGAATGAATAAATTGGTGCGGAAGACGCATAAGCGCAGAGAAAATAAGTAGTGAATGAATAAATTGTGTGGAAGTCGCATAAACGCGGAGGAAATAAGCAGTGATTGAATAAATTGGTGTGGAAGTCGCATAAGCGCGGAGGAAATAAGCAGTGAATGAATACATTGGTGTGGAAGACGCATAAGAGCAGAGGAAAGAAGCAGTGAATGACTAAATTGGTGTGGAAGACGCATAAGCGCAGAGAAAATAAGTAGTGAATGAATAAATTGTGTGGAAGTCGCATAAACGCGGAGGAAATAAGCAGTGATTGAATAAATTGGTGTGGAAGTCGCATAAGCGCGGAGGAAATAAGCAGTGAATGAATAAATTGGTGTGGAAGACGCATAAGAGCAGAGGAAATAAGCAGTGAATGAATAAATTGGTGTGGAAGTCGCATGATCGCGGAGGAAAGAAGCAGTGAATGAATAAATTGGTGTGGAAGACGCATAAGCGCAGAGGAAAGGAAGAAAAAGAACATCAGACCGATCAGACCAACAACGCATTTGCCGTTGCAGACGCTTGGGAATCGAGGAATTTTTTGTCTGTTAAAACTGACACTGAAGAGTTTCGGTATGTTTTGAAACTGTTCACCGTCGCTTTTCATCTGATGACAGTTACGACAAATAAATGGATCAAAATGAGAGAGATTTCTTTTTATTGAATGCTTCAATGTGTTTCGCTGTTACTATACACACAATGCAGCACTAAATGGGACTGTAATTTTATGTGACACTGAAGAGAAATCAAGAAAAGTCCACAGCCTCGTCTTAATCGACGTCATTCTTCTTCCTTCCTTTTCTACCGTTTTTATTTCTACTTTTGCCTTTTCTTATTTAATACGTATTTCTGTATTCTCTCCTACTTCCTTTATTATTTTCTTGAATGTTACTTCGTTTCGTTGTTTGATAATTCCTTCTTGTACGCTTCTTCCTTTAATATTTCTGTCCGCATCCACTCTTTTCCCACTGTTTTCTTTCTTAATTTTCTTTTGCCTCTTGAACGTTCCATCTCTTTCTTCGTTCATTAAGGTAAATTTGTCGCTCAACACAACTAATTGAGCACTACGCCATGAGGGCCTATGGGGGAGTGAATGTATTTTTTTATTGGTACTACAGCCTCAGTGGGCCTAGGCCTACCTTCATGAACTTCACTTCGGTTTTTCTAGATCATACACATACGGTAGGACTCCTTGGGCGGGTGATCAGCTCGTCGCAAGGCCTCTACCTGTACACAAACACAGAAAAACGCACACACAAACTAAACATCCATGCCCTGGGTGGGATTCGAACCCACGATCCCGGTTTCCAAGCGAACGAAGACAGTACATGCCTTAGACCGCTCGGCTACGGTGACCGGCGGAGTGAATGTATAGAGCCATATTTTCTTGACCCCGGCAATAGCTAGAGGTGAGTGGTCAGCTTCACGCCCCGGCCACTTTACTCCCGGGAAAAGAGCCCCGTTACCCATTGGATAGGAGGTTGGTTGAACCCCAGAGCCGGTCTGGACGATCTGGAGAAGAGAAAATTCTTGACCCTACAGGGACTAGAACTCCGACCTCTCAGTCATCCAGCCCGTAGCCAGTCGCTATACGGACTTTGCTACCCTGGCTCTTCCTTTCTTGACCTTACTTTCTTTTATATCTTCACCTTTTTTCTTTCCTTTCATTTTACATAAATCCATTGTGCTTTATTTCTATCAAAACATGTCTCTTACAGACGTTACTTATTTCTTCACACTTTCATGATAAGCGTTACTGTTGTTGTAGTCCTTGCTGTGCCGCAATTGCCTTATATATTTTAATGAGACGCGCGTGAAAGAGAACACGATAAAGTTATGCTAAATTAAATATCAAGAACGAACAACTACAACGATAATGAAGCGCAAGAAAAAAGTCCAAATAATAAGAATAAAAATAAATTAAATTCATATACAAAAATGAATAACAGATTAATAAAGAGTGCTATCGAATACAAATATACAACACCAATATGCGGAAACATGCATGTGACAATATACAACATAACATAAATTCAGATTAATTTTTTTTTGCATCAGAATGGAAAAGAATAATAAACTATACTTCGTAGATATTTCTATAACAGGAACAGAAAACAGCCTACAGTACAGCAAGTGTCGCAAGTCTACATCATCCAGCACAACAATACACAATAATTCATGTTATCCAATATGAAATAATATAGCTGGAATTATCTACATGCTCAATAAGCGCCTGTACCACAAATAAAGACAACAGAAACACAAAAATAAATACATAAATAATAAATTACAATAAAGGTACTAATAAACAAGTAGGGCCTGAAATATAAATTTTGTAATATTTGAAACTCAACACGACAGCTATAATACAGAGAAAAACAACTGTAACAAAAAAGTACCACATTCACATGTTTTGTTAATGAAACCAATCATATAAATATCCAAAAACACCAACATAAACGTAGCCTACAGACGAATATTTTCAAGAAAAGCAACATAAGAGAAATAGGTTCGATAAAGAAAAAATTTCCTTGATTTGAGAGGTCAAAACGGAAGGATTCATCAATAAAATATATGCAGAAAATGCAGAGGCAATATGATACATGAATGCCATATATGTATACATATTCACAACGCACTTCAAACACTGGGTACACGCACGGAAACAAATAATGGTATGAATATAATCCTAAGAGCCACACAGCCTTGGCTCCTAAGGAATCTTGAAAAATTCCACATTCGTTGCACTCACAAACAAAATCAACATGTTGACGAATCGTTAATGGGAGCTAGGCTGCGGGATGAACGACCGATTAATCGGGGTTCGAATCTGAAATGAAAAGAGATATTTCTCTTCTCTCTATAACACCCAGACTGTCTGTAAAATCCGCTTAGCCTCCTATATACATGAATATTTCCTGGGGCGTGGAGCTAACCACTAACCCCCATCTAATGCAAATGCATAGATTGTGGGAGCCATGTATTGTGCTTAATTAAACTTAAGCATAAGCTTATATTTTTACTTCACGAATCATTAATAGACAACATCAACCCTACTACAGACTCTATATATATATATGTAACGTGTCGGCAAACCAGAGGAGTAACTTCTATGGAAACGCTGGCACGTTAAAATATATATA